AAAATAAATTGCAAAACGTGCTCTAATTTTGCTATCTGAGTATTTTAGCTTTATATTCGTTTTTCATTTTTACTAGCGTTAAAATAAATAAAAAAAATATTAAATCAAACGTTGCGACACCAGATACATAAAAAAACAAAAATCTGAATCCGATCGATTGATAATCACTGTGTTCAACGCGACGTTACTAACAGGCCCAGTTCCACATTTTATTCTAATCGAAGTTTAGCTCGTTAAAAGAGCATTTACGTTGCGTCCCAAAGTCCGAAACCCATTGTATCCAATCGGACGTCATACATCGGACATTGAACACAATGTAAATTCTCCTTTAACGAGTTAAACTTCGGTTAAAGTAAGTTGATCTGGGCCTAAGTAGCTTATCCAAAATTCCCTGTAAAGTAAACTTTCTGTTAAGATATTTAATAAACTAAAGTCGTAATCATACAAAAATTTAACGGCATTTTTTTGTATAATATGAATATAAGCTTTTGATTGCAATTAGTTTGAATAAAATCGGTGTAGTTATCCTAAGAAATGACGATCGAATATTAGAATTGTGACATTTTTCGTTTTTATCCTCCTTTTCTCAGTTCTGATTCACGTATATATGCTCGTACGCACACATAAAACGCACACGTAAAACGAGTTCGTTCCTTAAATGTCGTTCATACCGTGCATATACGATCATTGCTTCAGTGTGTCATAATGCTTTAAGAGACAAAATTATATTGTGTATATGCGTGCATATGTGTGACTTTTAACTATTTTTCCCATATTCTCTGCTAAAAATACTATTGGAATTTATTTTTATGACGCCAAAGATATGGGAATCTAACCATATTTTTTAATTATTATTAGCAAATTAAAAATTATTGTCAAATGAATTAAAAATAGCTAATTTAAAAAAAGAAGAATATAAAAAGGTATTGTATTATAAATTTCGTTTTGTATTTAAAAATTTACTAGTACGTCCTCAAAATTTACCAACTGTGAATTTTTTAAATAATATATTTTTTTCTTTTTCTTTGTTTTCATCGATATATATGAATTTTAGTTGTATACTGCAGCATTATGTGCTTATAGAAATAATCAATTTTTAATTAGTGTAAAGAAATTGTTCTCATATTTAATGTGAAAAATGAAGGATTTTTGAGAAGAAATTGTAATAATTTATGAAAAGACACGCAGAATATAATTTGAAGACATATGATAGTAACTTAAAATGCGATTTGCAATATAATTTTACTTTTTCGTATTCTTCTTTTATTAATTATTTTCAGAAACATCCATTTAATGTGAGAAAGATAAAATGAGTTTAACTAAAATTAGAAAGATAAATAAAATGAATTTAACTAAAATTAACAAATGTATATGATTGGTCTATTTTAAGCATATATATTAATAAACTGAAACGAGTTGTGTAATACAATATCTCTTTTATTTTTCTTGCAGTGCCTCTTATATTTAATATTCTGATATATTAATAGTATTGAGAAACGAAGATAAAGAAAATTGTTTTAAAGTGCTGTAGCTAAAAATTTCTTTTAGAACTGTAACAATAAATTAAAATAAAGATTGTAATATAATATAATTTCAAGTCATATAACTCGAAAAGTATTTAAGAAATACTTTATTATAATATTTTGGAACGTTCTCGAGATAAGCTACAAGAACATACAGTGAAAAATAGGGAGTTTCATTTAAAAAAACAAAATTAAACTCTATATGAGTTGAGCTCCCTTGATTCGCTCACTCAAATTAATATCAAAATCAGATATCTTCCTCCGAATCCTATAACTTTTGTTTAAAACATTTTTTCATCTGATCAGTTTTTGCGACGTTAATCAAGATGCACAATTAAAATGGGACAATGGGTCATTATGAAAACATATATATGTATATACATATATATATATACATATATATATATATATATATATATATATATATATATTACGTATGGGCCTATTTATGGGGGCATGAATGTATAAAATTGATTTTTTATATTTTTCAATGCAATTTGACCTTAACAATATCATCTTATAACTATATATATATATATACAGAGTGTGTCATTTTAAGTGATGTAACTGAATATCTCAAAACCATGGCGGTTTTGGTGTAAATATTTTTGTGACGACGAGGCCGTCACTAAGTGCGCTGCGCCAATTTGGCACCAGCGCCGCCGATTGAACACCTCGACCGAGGCAAGAGCCGCGGATTGAGGATCGCGGCCTACTCCACCGCTATGCGCATGATCGCGTGGGGATATCGTGTAGGGGTAACCAGGGTATATAAGGTGGCCGCTCCGGCAGATCGCTACCTATTCCTGTCTCGACTCTTGAGATGCTCGAAACCACAGGGCACCCTGGGCACTCGAAGCTTACCGAGCTCCTATCCTCGCTTTCTGGTTCAGAACACTCTACCGTGCCCGGTCGGGTGTACTCGACAACCAGGAGCTCCCGTCGAGCCACGGACGATCCGGTCTAGGATACGGGCGCTCCCGTACTCTGTCGGTTGCAACCGACGCCCGGACTGTCCAGGTTCCAACCTCGCAACCCGAACACGGCTCCTGAACGAGCAGCCGTTCTCACGGCTCCTGGACAATAGCCGTTTTCACGGCTCCTGGACGAGCGTCATATCAACGGTCCTAGAGGACAGCCGCTTCCGCAGTTCCCAGACGACAGCCGTTCCCACGGCTCCAGGACGACTGCCGTATCCACGGCACTAGAGGACCACCGTTTCCCCGGTTTCTGGACGCCGACCACCCACTCTTGGAATACTAGCCGTTTTTCACGACTCTTAGACTAATAACCTGTTGTAAATAAAGATTGGTCTCCGCTATCCTAGATTCCTAGCCGACTCTCCTTCTCGCGGCTGTCAACGAATCGCTTCACCGTCTTCAAACCGCGCCAGCCCGCGAGCTTTACTTTGGGGGCCCTGATTAACTTCCCTAGTTTAGGTTGCTACCGGGCCCGGTCGGTTGCTACCGATGTTCAGTATCCCGGCGTACTACAGGGCACCCATGTACGCCACCCTGAGGGCGGGTGCTCCCGTCCTCGGCCGACTTCGATTGGCAGACCCTGCTGGGTTCCATGTCCGTGCCTTGTTGCACGCGACCACTCATTAGGTCTTCCGCGTCGCGAGCTTTACTTTGGGGGCCCTGATTAACTTCCCTAGTTTAGAGCCCGATTGCTACCGGGCCCAGTCGGTTGCTACCGATGTCCAGTATCCCGGCGTACTACAGGGCATCCGTGTACACCACCCTGAGGACGGGTGCTCCCGTCCTCGGCCGACTTCGGTTGGCAGACCTTGCTGGGTTTCGTGTCCGTGCCTTGTTGCACGCGACCACTCATTAGGTCTTCCGCGTCGCGAGACATACTTTGGGGGTCCTGATTTAACTTCCCTGGTCTAGAGCCCGGTTGCTATCGGGCCCGGTCGGTTGCTACCGGCGTCCAGTATCCCGGCGTACTACAGGGCACCCGTGTACGCCACCCTAAGGACGGATGCTCCCGTCCTCGGCCGACTTCGGTTGGCAGACCCTGCTAGGTTCCATGTCCGTGCCTTGTTGCGCGCGATCACCTGTTCGGGCTTTCGCGTCCGCGAGGAGATCTTACGCGCTACGCGGCGGGTAAGCACCAACCGCTTTGTAATTACCAGATTAAGGCGTGTTCCGTTGCACAGTTAGTGCGCGAGTCCTTGTAAATAATTAGGATAAGGTGTGTTCGTAATTCCGTTGCATAACTAAGGCGCGATTTGTTGTGATTAATTAGTAAGCTTAAGGTGTGCGTTTTTAATTTCCGCGCGGGCTCATTACCCAGAGCATGCCTGTCTGTCTAATTGTAATTAACCTGATTTTTGAATAAAATTGGTATTAAACCGTACACGTGTGATTTTGCGAGCCTGAGCCTCCCTTTCTCCCGAACCCTGACTCCGACGAGCCGATCCGCAGCGTCGGGAAAAGTGCTCCGTTACATTTTAAAAATTGTATGACAACACAATAAGAAACTAGCAAATAAGAGCCACCACCGCGGATGGTAGTGCGTAAAATTTTTCTTATATTATTCGCGAAAATTTAAACGTGCACAAGGCATATACATATATTTTACTTGGTGCATTTACCAAGATATAGATTCTCATAGTTTTATTAACATTAGACGAGAGAAATGTGGGTGTGGGGCTGAATAGCTCAGTGGTAAGAGCAGTCACTCGGCAAGTGAAAGACTCGGGTTCGATTCCCGATTCAGCGACTTCACCTCGATATTTTTCTCGTCTCTACAGGGGGGTAAAGAGATGGTTTATGGAATTCTCAAAAATGAGAATCTATATCTTGGTAAGTGCACCAAGTAAAAAAAAAATATATATATATATATGCCTTGTGCACGTTTAAATTTTCGTGAATAATTTAAGAAAAATTTTACGCACTACCATCCGCAGTGACTCTTAGGGTGCGAACCCATGCAGCGGAATGGCGTAACGCGGAACGAGAGCGGAACCAATCACAAGCGTTCAGTGGTTTTCATCGTTTTTGTCGATTTTCCGCTGTTTTCAACGGCTTTTAGCGGAATGGATTTTAGCGGAACGGTGCTAACTGTATGTACATTTAACCTCAAAGTGTGCAATCAATGCAATCAGTGCAATACATGTGATATAATATATATTAAGATAGAGAATAATATATTTACCATGAGTACGAATACGAAATTATCACAATTAGTAAGTAATTATCACAATTAGTAAAAAAATATTTAAGTTTAATTATTCTTGTATGCACGTACGTATTTGGATTTGTGTTACAATTTTTACATTACAACTTTTCTATCTTTTTCTATTTTAAAGCAATAATCTGTACTAAATGTATTTACAATTAATCTGTGCAGAGCAAGAAATGTGGATATTGTGGATGGATTTTAACAAATAACATGGATGTACTTCAACATGCACCATGTTTTTCTGATTATGATGAAGCTATTAACACAATAATTATTGATGAAAATAACATTGTGACTATAGGTAAGTTAATTTTTATTTTTTTAATAAATTTTGAACATTATTTTCTTTTTTCTTTTTTTTTCATGTCTTGTTCTTATTTTTTCTCTTTTTTTATCCTTCTCGCATTATAGCCAGATCTATTTACAACTACTAACAATAAGTAGAGAATAATGCCTGTATTATTGCAACATATGTATATTTTTCAGGATATAGACCTGGTATTGAAGTCAATTGTTCTAATTCACAAGATACAGATGAAATGTTGATAGCATGTGTTTCTCAGAAACCTGCTTTATATGATCATCGATTACCAGTTTCTGAGCGAACAAATTTGAAAAAAAATGCCTTGTGGCAAGAAGTTTGCAATATGATGGGAGGTATGCATAACTATTATTTTTAATTTTTATTGATCAATGTTATTATTTTTTACACATAATTAACATAACACAATTAAAACAATTAACATATACAGATCAACTGTTTTAATATAATGTTAAGATCATTATTTTAAATCTTTAACTGACTACTTTAACTGACTCATGTATTATATATAAATAATATTGTATGTAAAAAAGTATTATCTCTTATAATATTTTTAATATGACAGACATCATGGACGTTACCGCTGCCAAAAAGAGATGGAAATATTTAAAGGACTGTTATGCAAAGGATAGAAAGAAAAGCAACGAGTACATACCAAGTGGATCAGCAGCTCCTAAAGCACGGAAAAATACTTTCCGTTTTTACGAGGCCATGAGCTTTTTAAACGATTGTATGGAAACAAGACAGTATGTATCACTCTCTTTAGGTTATTGCACGTAAAATGATTTTATTGTAACATTTTATTTAGTTTAGTTTTTTCATTTCTTATTTATTGAGAATTTCTAACATTGAAATAGCAGTGAAGCTGCTCTTACCATATATTATTAACAATAAATTGTTAATTAATTTTTTGACTTTTATTTTTTTATTTTATTAGAACAGTAAGCACTCTGCCCAGAAATTCATCAGTCTCAAACAATCCATCTGTATCAATATCACAGGCATTGACACTACGGGCATCATCAATAGCATCGACTTTTAATATGTCGGAGAATGGGAACACTGCATCATCTGAGAATGCAGAAGAATGTGCTACATTAAGTTCTAATTCCTATTCATCGAAAAGTATGTACAATTATTAATATTATGTTTAATAATATAAAATTTGCTTTAAATGTTTATTACAACTTGTTTTTCTTATACACAAACGTAAATTCGTATTATTATGCAGTTTTAGATTTTATCCAGCTTAGACTTATACCAGCTTAGACTTTATCAAAATTTATTTAAAAAATAAAAATATAAAAGAAATAAAATGTATATTTCACAAATTCTTATAATTTTATGAAATATACATTTGGTTTATTTTATATTTTAATTTTTTAAATAATTTTTGATAAAATAATCTAAATCTACATAATGATACGAATTGGCATATTATGAATTATAAAAGAAAAAAAATATTTATTTTTAATTTTTAAATTTACAAAAAATTTGAATTTAAAATCAAATATTTCAAAAAAATTCCGTTTTTCTTGGATAAACATATTTATTTTTATTATTATAACTTTTTATCATAATTGTATACATTACTTGTTTCTTTTTTTTTTAGAAAAAAAATCAAAAAGAGATTCTAACAGTTTAGATGAAGTTTTTTTAACAACACTAATGGCCGAACCAGCGGCACAAAATGATCCAACCTCTAACTATGCACTGAGTTTAGCTGATGGGCTTCGCCGACTTCCTTACAATGAAAGAGCAAAATTGCAGATAGAGTTTCTGAGCAGGGTAATGGAAGTTCAAAACAGATTAGGTAATTACACATACATAATAGTATATATGTATGTAATAATAAGCATAATAAGTATGCATGTATAGGACTTATATGTACATTTTTATTGTTTTACATTTATTTATTTACATTTATTCTATTTTTATGATATATATAATATTTTTATTTCAGATTCAGAAATGTGTCCACCCTAACGCTACGATATATTTGCTAATAAGTGATTAAGTGATATTACATTATAAAATATAGTATATAAGCGATAAAATATCAGATGTTTTATAATTTTATTAAGTTTAATAAAGTTTAACAAAGTTTTATTTTATTCACTATAAAATATGTGTACAAATTCAAGAATAGAAAAAAATAACATTTATATTTAAAAATCATTGCTTAACACCTTATCCCACTGCCAATCGACTGCACCAGTGTTCATAAAAAAATCGGTATAATGCTCTCGCACTTGTACAGCATATTGACTTTGTGCATATTGACTGTTTTCTCTGAGTGACTCTGTTTCTGTAAATGCACCTGCATAAATCAAATTTGTATTTTCTTCTTGGTTATTTCTGCAGTAAGTTCTTTCTGCTAAAGGTAGTGACGCTTCAAATTGGATTATAAAATTATGCAAAGCTGTTGTAGCTTGCACAATTTTTATCGCTGTTGTTAAAGAGGTATTTATTGGTTTACGATAAATTCTCCAACGAGCTGCGAGCAATCCAAAAGCGCTTTCGACTACTCGTCTCGCTCTACTTAAGCGATAATTAAATACCTTCTTTCTTAGATCAAGATGTGTATTTCGGGGAAAAGATCGCATTATATATGGTGTTAAGGCAAAAGCCTCATCTGCCACTAATATATATGGAAGTTCCGGTTTATTCATTTCTAGTTGAGTTGGTTTGGGTAAATTCATATTTCCATTTTCAAAACGGATACCAATCTCACTCTTTCGAAATACACCTCCATCGCTTTGTCGACCTTCAGCACCAATGTCCAACAGCAAGAAAGAATATTTAGCGTCGCTAATCGCCATTAAATTTATACTGTGGTCTCCTTTATAATTGTAATACGTGGATCCACTATTCGGTGGGGCCTGCAAACCAATTAATTAATAGCGTTTTTCATTGGCAGAATTAGTGCGCACTGAGTGTCGTTCTAACTTTTTTTAATTCCAGTGAACAATAAAGATAGAACGACAACCAGTGCGCACTAATTCTGCCAATGAAAAACGCTATAAAATTCATATTCAAAAATTGCATTACATACAAACACACACACACACACACACACACACACATAATACGTATATAATATATATTTTTATAATATGTACAAAAATAGTATATTTACCTCAACTTTAACATGTTTACCGTCAAGTGCTCCAATACAGTTAGGATAGTTCCATTGTTCTTCAAAGTCTTTAGCTACCATCTGCCAATTTTCTGCTGTTGGATTGAGAAAAACTTTTTCTTGTAATTCATCCCAAATACATTGACACGTTTCAGATATAATTTTTGATGTGGTATTATTTCCTACACGGAACGCATACGACACGGATGCCATGCTGTCTCCACTGCTTAAATACCTTAAAGTAAATCAATTCTCAAGGAAATCGGCTTTGGAGCCATCGCGGTTGTTCGTGGGAAATAATAATTTTTAAAGTACTCTTCTCTACGCGGAGAAGAAAATATTTCAATGAATGTACACCGATCTCTTTTGGAGATACTTAGAAGTGTACATTGTTCTTAAATTGAGAAATAAAATGTACAGATCATACCTTAAAGTAAGTTCCAGTCGTGTACGTGGTGGAATTGGCTCTCGAACTGCATACTGTTTCTGAATTTTTGGTCCAACAATCTCCAATAGTTTTTCAAATAATATCGGTGACAACCTCAAGAAATTACAATACTTTGGGTCATTGGAGTTTAACATTTCTACAATTAAATTATCACTGGCGCCTTGTAAAAATCTTCTTTCAGGCTTGAAAATAGGACGCACCCAAAACTTTCTTTTTTGTTTTTCTTTTATATTCTCACGTTCTTTTATTTTTTTATATATTACATATAACTTGAGTAGCTTTCTTTGGACCGCTTTTTGATCTACTGCAACTTGTAATCTTGATTTCTTCCAATATTGATATATGCAGAATAATGCAGTTTTAGAATTCATTGTAACCTATAGATCCTAGTCAACATATATAAATTAACATAAAATTACAATATTTATTTTAAGAGTATACAGAAGTCAGAAGCGAGTGTAGTGAAATAGTCTAGTAGACAATCTACATTTTTACTTTTTATAAATGTTGTAGGACAAAATTGCAAAATCTGACTTTGTAGTGACCTGTGAAACTATACAAGGAATAATATGAAAAAAAACCTGAAAAAATATTACTTTTTCGAGTCAGAAAATGGAATATACGGAAGTGCACTGTCTGATTTCCATTTTCTCAAAAAAGTTATATTTTCTCATAAATTTTTAAAAATATAGTTCTTGTATAGTTTTGCAGATCACTACAAAGCCGGATTTTGCAATTTCGTCCTATAAAATTTATAAAATAAAGAAATGCAGATTGTCTACTACACTTTACTACATTTATTTCTGATTTTTGTATATATCTATTTAATATTTTATTATAAAATATATATTGCCCCGGTTACAAAATTATATAATTATACATTTCTATTATCTTTAATTCTTTAACAATAATTTATTAATTTCTATTCTATACTACCTTGTTTTCACACGCTGCACCGAATTTTAATGTATGTATATACGGTTCCGTCACTTCTGTTACGCAGATTCCAAATTCCTACATCCCCATGGAGCGGAATGAACGTAACCGAAAAAAGCAGAACGTCCTTAAAACGAGTTATAAATATTGCTTTTGCCATTTGTTTGTATTATTATGTGCATAAATATTGAATTAGATATATTTTTCATTAAATTGATTAACCAAAATGTTAAAATTTGTCAAATGAACTTCAACGTGTTTTTACTCTTTTTGAAATAACAACTCGTGATTGGCCTGCGATATTTTCATTCCGCTCCATGGGGATGTAGGGGATGTTGAAAACAGCGGAAAATCGACAAAAACGATGAAAACCACTGAACGCTTGTGATTGGTTCCGCTCTCGTTCCGCGTTACGCCATTCCGCTGCATGGGTTCGCACCCTTATTTGCCAGTTTCTTATCGTGTTGTTTAATACATATAAAGCTTAATTCTCTGATTTATTAAAAGTTATATGGTTTTAAGGGGCCATAAGATGGTGTCATTGGTTTTACCTTGAAAAGTCGTTTGAAGGTCACGTAAAGGTTACCTTCAATTTCTTAAATGGAACACCCCATTTTTTATTATTTATTCTTGTAGCTTATTTCTAGAGCTTTCCAAAACACTATAATAAAGTATTTCTTCATTGAGTACTTTTTGAGTTATGAGGCTTGAAATAATTTTTTTAATTTTATATAGACTATAAAATATCTAGTAAAATATTCATTTTTCGATTATCTTATCTTAATACTTTTATATACAAAATAATGAGAGGAATTAATTGATGAAAAGAAGAAACATAGTTGTTTCGAAGAAAAAATATGTAATTTAGAATTAACAATAATGTAAATGCAGCTTTCGGATTTAATTTTAGTCTCGATTTCGAGCACCGGTTCGTGTTTGCGAAGCGCGAGACGGCGTGTGTTTTTGCGGCGCTTTTTCCGCGAGAAATTCTGATGTTCCTAGAATGCTCGGGTTCTCGAAATCGACGGTCGCTTTCGCGGAAATATTTATTTCTCGACGCCGCGATTTAAAATTCGCGTTCGGTCTATTACAATCGATGCGCTTTAATAACGACGGCGGATGTCGTGATATTAAAATACGCAGTGGCGTTTAAATATTTATTTCTTGATACCGCGATTTAAAGTCCACGGATGTCGTAATACTAAGATACGCAGTGGCGTTTAAAACGACGATGACGGTGATAGCCGGAAAAAATGTATGCGCTTGACGGTGGTAACGCGTGGTATAGGATTGCGTCGCGAAGAATGTAATACGCGGTGCAGCTGGATCTAAAACACTCGATCAGGGGCAGTTCAGAGCTCCACCTTCCGTGAGGGTTCAGCTGCGGATCAGGTAGATTGCACTTGTACGTCGGAATCGAGATCACTCGTTTAAGATGGACTCGCTCCACCTTTTTGTTCTCGATAAACTCGTGCTTTGTAGGATTTTCTGGATTTTGCTGCTGAAGCGTATTGTGGAGAGCGGATCAGAAAAATGTAATGATAATCCGAAATGTGGCTCTTTTTATACGGGCTAATTGCCCGCGTCGGCGCGCGGCGGTATAACCCCTTCCGAACGGGTTTTCGGAAAACGGTGCGGTCGGGCCCGCTTGGAGAGGTTCGGGTGTGCGCCGAACGCGGGCTTTTGCCGGTCGGCGGTTCGGGTCACGTCGGGTATAATCGGCGATGTTCGGCCGAATTTGAGTTAACGACTTCGCATTTAACAAAGTAATCTTAAAAAGGTGGGCGCACTGCGCCCCTGCCTCTGCTCGGCGGATGTTCTGCCGGGCGGCAACTTCCGGCGGGTATTATGCCGGGAATCGTAACGATGCACCGAGATGCATCATTACACGTCTTTGAGCTTATTTCGTAACAATTATCGTGGGTTGAATGTGTCGCGGTGCGAGAAATTCAGCTATTATCGAAATTTTAGTCGATTGCGCTAAGAGCAGCGTGAGTAAAGAGCTGAGAAGTACAGCGCGAGCTGCGTAATCTGCGTCCGATGGCTATCGATAATCGATTGTAGTAACAGTGCCCGTCGCAAGCGAGATCAATCGTTTTCGCAAAATCTGTAATTATTCTCGCTCAATTATTAGGCAAGCTGTCGAACCTTTTGCTTGGAATGGCGAGCTAAGAAATTACGAAGAAAAAGACCGGTACGATAAGACGACGA